TGAAAATTTATATATTGGAATATGCGTTGTTGGGCTGATACTTGCAATAACTGAAAAATGTAATCAGGGACAAGTTTGATTTGGAGGCTTTTTCTCCTGGCTTGATCTGTGCTTGGTCAGAGGGTTAGGGTTAGATTTGATGTATTTTTGGAAACAAAAAAAAACTTTGCAGTGGCACAGTTCTGTTGACCCTTGTAAATGCTTTTCTGCTTGTCTTCTAATTGGAGGAACTATATGGTTTGCCGTCCCTGACCTAGTAGCTTTGCCAGAGGTACTGCCATAAACAACCCACCTTGACTGTGTTTGTGAGGTCCTGCAAGCCTTGCCCTGAGCCTGCTGGCCTAGCACTCCATCTGAAGGGCCTGAGGCTCCCTCTGTCTTCTAGCCCAAGAGAGCCAAGTCCATTCTTCTGATAAGAGATCCAGGGCTGTGGCAGAACTGTTGTATTGGTAAAGAATACTGACTATACCATGGACTGCCAGAAGAATGAACAAATCTGTCCTGGAAGAAGTGCAGCCGGAGTGCTCCTTGGAAGCAAGGACGGTGAGACTTCACTTCACCTTCTGTAGACATGGGATCAGGAGGGACCAGTCTCTGGAGAAGGACATCATGCTTGATACAATAGAGGGTCCGTGAAAGAGGAGGACCCTTAACAAGTTGGATGGACACAGATTTTGAGGATGGCACAGGACTGGGCAGTGTTCCTTCTGTTGCACGGAGGGTCACTGTGAGCTGGAACCAGCTCCGCAGCACCTTACAGTGTTGTTTCATGAATTGTATTTACTAGATTTCTCAGTTACTGACCTCTTTGCTTTAAGTAACAGTCCTCATTGTTGCTGTTGTGTCATCACATGCACCCCAGGCCCCCCCCTTTCCCAGGACAGATTCTGCCTATAGGTAGGTGATTTTCTCATTTGCCACGTTCTCTCTGCCTTTACTTACCTTCTTGGCACGTAGAGTACTGGTTTTACTTTTGGTGAGGAAAGAGGGCATGTATTTGATCAGTTTTTATTTACATGGTTTTGTTTCATTTGTGGCCTTGGGCTGCAGAGGTCTGCTTTCCATTTCAGACATCTGACACTTTCTAAGAAGCACATAAATTGGAGTTTGGCAGGATTAGCAAAATTTTAATGTTTGGGCCCTAATGAGTATTACTGGAAAGAATGAAGATAGATCATTGATCAGTAAACTTAGATCATTCTCAAAAACTGATGGTGTAAGTCAAGTCAGGTGGCATATGCTTACCAAAAAGCTATTTATCTAAAATGATGAATAAAACACTTGGAAATGTTAGCGCTATTCTTCATGTTGTTGTTCTTCCTACTGGATCTAACTCACAAAGTATTGTTACAACTGTTCACTTCTCTTCTGTGTTCCTACTATGTCTGCCAGGACTTTTGGTTGCAAGTGACATGAACCAAAGGACCTAAGCAAAAATTGGTAGTGTGTTTGCTCTTGTATCTGAAAAGTCTAGAGAGGGGTATCTATCAGGCATAGCTAGATTGGGGACCTTAACTGTGTCAGCGGGAGTCTTTCCATCCCTCTGCTCTTACCATGTGGTTGTAGCTTTCGGCTCTTCTTTTCAGCATCACTGTCAGCCTTGCTTGGGTCACGTATCCAGCTCTACTAATCACGATGTAAAGGACTAGAATACTTGTTCTGGTCAATCTGAGCATGTGCAGTCTGCTGTAGTTGTCCACACACCAGTTGTGGCAGGGGGAGTTCCAAAAGGAAGCTAGGCAGGCAAAAACAAGCATCTTCTTATAACGATCGTGGCTGCTCTGTGCTCTAGGCCCTGACCTCTAGTAGTGATGGACTGTTGAAGGGGAAGAATTTGTCTTATTCATTTCTCTGTCCCTACTACAGTGTAGGCACTCAGAAAATGATCCATGAACAGATAAACAGTGGCACAGTTGATTTCCATTAAATTGGTTATTTTGTCTTTTTTATGCCTTGAGCTGAAAGGTTCGTAGTGTGACTAAAGGGAGCTCTCCTTGGTATTGAGGTAATGATGCTGACCTGGTGAAAATGGTCATGCTGATCACCAAGGAGGATGCAGAGAAAGAACTAGCCATTGAGGGACAAGCTGAAGAAGAAAGTAAGAGCATTCCTCTCCACGGGCCCCTTGTCCAGATTTCTGAACGCGTGGAAGGCAAGAAGTAATTCCTGTAAAATTTTTTACCAAATATTAAGTAATTTGAACTTAGTAACAGCAACTAGTAGGCTGAGAAAACATGGACCCTTAAGTTCTTTGGGAGCTCTGGTAGCATAGTGCCAAGGTGCTTGACTGCTAACCAAAGGCTAGCGGTTCAAACCCACCAGCCACTCCTTGGAAGGAAGGTTGGGCAATCTACTCCCGTAGTGATACTGCCTCAGAAACCCAAAGAGGGGTCGCTATGAGTTGGGTCTGACTTGACGGCACATAACAACAACAACTAAGTTCTTTAATAATCACACATAATAATTCTGACATGTCCGATCAAGTTTGTTTTGTCTCAGGGAATCTTTGGCTTGTCACATGTGTAGAAAAGCTTAAGAGGTATACACAAGAAATGGATGCCAGTGGTCCCTTCTGGAGAGGGAGCACTGCATGTTTAGAGGATAGGAGTGAGAACTTTTCTACTTAGATTCGAATGTACTGTGTGCCTGTTTTACCTAAGAAAAATACTTAATTTAAAAGAAAAAAGACCGGAAGAATCTTCATGAATGCTCTTGAGGGTGCTAACACATGAATGTGTTACTCTCGCTCCAAAAGGATAAGATCTTGGACGTGACCTTCATAAACAAATATATGCAGCCCTCCTCCATGCATGTGGAAAAGGGGGACAGATTATGGAATTCCCAAAATAATAATCTTAACTTGAACATGGCTATCTTTCAGTTACGAACCTTAATACAGGCTCTTCCTAATTGCTAGGCATAGAACCAAGAACCATTTTTTGTGCCGCATTTTCTGGTAAATACTGTTGTCTTTATAAACCTGTTTAATTCAGCCTAAATAAGTAAAGACAAGAGACTGATCGAAATACCACGTTTTGCAAATTTTAAATTTCTTGCAGCTAAGCTCCCTTAGGGAGCATTCCCCCTATTTCAGAATTGCGGTGGATCAAGTGGCTGTCAACCATGCAGGGAGGTGCTTTGTCTGGAGGTCTTCAAGTGTCTTTGTTAGCTGTGTGGGGCACTCAGAATTCCTGGTGTTTTTCATAGGCGAATGGGTTTTCCTTTATCCTGAGCTCAGTTGATGACGTCTATGGATATTTTCTACAGATGGGGGTAGAGTGGTGACTGCCTTTCTAAATCTTTGTGTCTTTTTTTTTTTTTGCTGAGTTGTTGAACTGTTTAGCCAAGAGGAAGGGAGAACCAAGAATTACTGCCTTCTGGGCATATCTCATCTTCTGAAGTGAGGTGGGATTAACTTGAGAAGTTCCAAAGGAGCTGCTGAATTTTGGCCCACAGAAAGTTTAATGAGTAGAGAAAAACAAGATGTCGTTTTGCAGACTTGGGCATCTGTGGGCATTCATGTTGATGCCTGGTGTCGCTATCAGATGGTTCTCTCTGAAACCTAGTTTGTGGGAACTATTTTCTTAAACGATTGAGATAATTTTTCTGGTCTAAAACCATCAAAAAGATATTTGAGAACAATTTGGCATCAGAATCTTCCCAAAGAATAATTTGGCCTTCAGTGCACATGAATTAAATCAGAAGCAGTTGCCCTACCAATATGCAAATTATCAACATGGCAGAGGGCAGAAGAGACCAGAGACACTGCCTCCTGGCTGATAGGATTTCTGTCTTGAATGTAAGAAGTCTTCTGATCATTGTATTTCAATGAAAGTCTCCTTTGGTCTGATACTTCTTAAGCGATTTAGAACTTCCAGGATACATTGTTTATTTTGATTTTGGTAGGTTTCACTCTTTTTTTCCCCCTCTGCTTTTTCATTTTCTGTAGTTAACATTGATTGTTTTTTTTTTAATTGGAATAATAAAAGAGGTAACATGAGATTTTGTTTGGTTGGTTGGATAACTTGACCTGTGATTGTAGTTCACAGATGGGATTAGAGGAATGGCCTTTATTGATTAGAAAGTCAGGTTTGATCATATTTAATTTTAATATCTGGTGCTTTTGGTATTTGGCTTTGGTTTTTAGAACTACTTCATAGCCTACACAAAAATTTGGATTTAGATTGAAATTTTATGATAAATTCTTACCATATTTATTGGAGGCCATACATGTTCTCAGTTGCCCACATTTTACTAATTTTACTTACTTTTAAACACAAACTCTTGTTTATAAAGAACTTGGGAAAGTGGATCTAAATTTTAATTCCCTTACACATGTAGGCTTTTCATGTTTTCAAAAGGATTCTCTATTGACCTTTGTTTTAATAACGTCTCTGTTGTTAACCATCTGCTTTGATGCCAGTTCCTCAGCTTTCTCCTACTCAGCGTTCATTCCATGGCCACTAGGGAGTGCCTGTGTTCAGGTGTGGCGCTGCCAGGGGAGGCTGATTTACATCCCCATTCCTGGTTTTAGTGGGGGGAGTGCACAGGAACTTGGAGGGGGTTTCTTGAAGACACTATAGCAGTGTGCAGGAGAGCCCTTGGCATCCAGAATTGCATGGTAGTAATGCCAGTATGGAGGGCATCTTTCTGTTTTTAGAACTTCAGCATCACAAAATGAGCATTCACGCTTGATTTAAAAATAATTGGTCGATACTGTTTCCCTAATGCTCAACTTTGAGTTCAAAGTCTAATCCGTCGGAATTGTGGCAGATTAGTTGGACTCGTAGTCAATCTGTAGCATAAAATTTCCTGTTGAAGATAGAGATTTGCGAGCACAGACTTTACCTTCAGAGCAGATGAGACCAGTGTATCTGTCTTACCTGCCTTTTTTTGTTGGACTGGGTGAGGGCTTATGATTGATCCTGCCATTAGTGGAATTACTAAATATTACAAGTTGTACATGTTTTGACTTGACTTAAATTTTTTTTCCCCAATAGAAACTATGTTCCAACTTCCTGTCAACAATCTTGGCAGTTTAAGAAAAGCCCGGAAAACTGTGAAAAAAATACTTAGTGACATTGGGTTGGAATACTGTAAAGAACATATAGAAGTAAGTAGCATGTTGTTTTTTTATTTTACCGTGACTCCGTTTCTGATCCATTACACTGCATCAGCAGCCAGGAATGCTTCATTCTTAGGTGTGAATCTGAATTTTAACCACAGCATTGGCTTCACCAGAACTTTCAGTCAGCCTAACTTGTTACCTTCTCCCTAAGGTAGACTTTTTTCATCTCTGCGTCCTGAAACAAAAGCAGCTACCATCCAGTTACTGAGCTGTGTCAGACATTGTACTTAGTGTTTAAAAATGTCTCTGAATTTAATCCTTAGAACAGCTGGGCACGGCGGGGGGCGGGGGTAGGAATTCTTACTTCAGATTTACAGATGAAGAAATGGTAAAGGGGAGGTCCAGCCTCACTCAGCTTAGTAAGTGACAGGGTCTTTCAGGCTCCAGAGCTTGAGGGTTGGGGTTGATCGGATGTTACGGCATGCTGCTCCGGGTGCAGTTCCTTGGGAATTGAGCATTTGTTGGCCCTTTTGACCTATCGTAGACTGTTATCTTCCCCTTGTATGTAACACTTTAGATTTTGCAAACAGTTTTGTCTCTGAGCCTTGGTACCAGCCCTGTGGGGCAGCTAGTGCATTGGCCTCCGCCTTTTCCAGATCTCCTTCACTGCTCCAGATCTGATGGTTAGCTAGTAACAGAAAGCCTCAGATGGAAGAGAGATGTTTAAAGCTGTTTCTCACCCACTTGCCTCTATTCGTTCCAGCTGGCCAGGGACCTTAGCTACCTTGTTTGTCCATGTATTCCCCCATCAACTGTATTACAGTGCTTGGCACATGGTGGGTGCTCAGGCAATGGATGGAATTGGAAGTAAAAAAAAAAAAAGCAAATTCCTTCGTGCAGATTTTCTTTCCTTGGGTCCCATTAATACACTCCAAGGGTATATCATGAAGACTGCAGCTTCTCCCAGGTGGACTTCTCTGGTTGTGTTGTCCCCAGTTTCTCCCATCCCAGTTCAGGTAGGTGGGCCAAGATGAAGCCTTCCGTTCACTCACTGCTCAGTGGGGTGATCTTCCAGGCGTGTCGAGGGACCTTTTCTGTGCTGCATTTGAGTTGTTCTTTTTACACCCATTCTGTACTCTGGAGATGACATGACTTACGTGAGTTTCCCATACTGAACTTGAGCCCTTGGTGAGCAAGGGGAGTTTTACCCCAGCACTTTCTGTCTTCCTAGTCTCTGGAGACAGGTCATTAGGTTTCACATAAGCATATAATTAACATCACGCTGCTTACTTTCTTGGAATAGATTCTTTTGCTCTTTTTTGGGTTCAGAAATCCTGAGTTTTCTTCCTGGTTCCTAGTCCGGTCTCCCACCCCCCGACTGAGTATCACGTCTGTGGTGCTTTGACTGTTGCTCTCTTATGCTTGGTTTTAGTGCTGTAACTGATGGGCTGCGGTAATCTCATGAAAAGTACCTTAGTATTGTTACTACATGGCTGGTTTTTACTTAACTTAGAACTCCCAGTGGTTTCCTTGGAAACCTGGCTGACATCAGGGAATATTTGACTGGAATAAAATACTCAACACAACTTCCACCTTCCCTTCTTTTATATTTTCCAAGAGACTTCTTGCTCAGTTTAGTTCTTGATAAGGGTGATTTTCCTGTACTTCTTCCCAACCCTCATTAAGTAGTAGAATTTATATGTAAGGTTGGGCTAGAGTGATACCACTATGTTTTTATAAACTTCTTTCACTGTTTTCTAGGATTTTAAACAGTTTGAACCTAATGACTTTTATTTGAAAAACACTACATGGGAGGATGTAGGACTGTGGGACCCTTCACTTACAAAAAACCAGGTAAGTGGCACAGAAGACTTCCCCAAATAGTAGCATTCCTGGGGATACCCCATTGTTAGTGCTCAGCTATCTTAGCAATGCAGTACTTGTAATCACCATTCTAAAGTAGGAAATGTCAAAATTGTGTACTTCATATTTTCCTAACTGGTAGGGAAAACTAGGAAGAACTTTTTGTCTTTTTTGTCATTGGACTGAAACTTCAAGCATAAGAAGAAAAGGGAATTTTGTTAAAATTTCTAAACGCTATTGTGTCCCAGCACTTCTCCTTCCCCAAGTACTATGGCTCTTCCATTTCTAAAATTTTCTCTCAAACATTCTGTTTCTATGATTTTTCTCTGCATTCTGTCTTGCTTTTTCTGGAGAGAGGTAGGCTGGACTCTGTCCTTCTTAAACTGTTCTTCCTTCTCTATTGCTGGTACCTTTCTGAAGGTCATGAGCCAGCACATTGGGAGAAGGGTAGATGACTGTAGGATGGCAGTGTCAAGAGATTTTAAATGTTAAAGTTTTAATATTGGAATTAAAAACAATATTAAGTTGTCCAAGGTGCCAACAAGTATCGATAGATGAAGATTTGGCAATGATTAGAGGGAGTTATATAAAGGGGATGTTTACTTTTCCATTGGGAGAAAAAACCCACCACCATCAAGTCAATCACAACTCACAGCAACCCTGTAGAGCAGAATAGAACTAATCTTTACAGAAGCAGACTGCCTCATCTTTCTCCTGTGAAGTGGCTGGTGAGTTCAAACTGCTGACCCTTTGGTTGGCAGCCAAATGCTTTAATGCATCAGGAGAAGTGATGGTCTATTCAGACGTTAACGTTGACCAATTCAGTAGAGATTGTGATTGTTTATTACCGATCTGCCATCTCTGGGAGTGTATTTAGTAGGAATTGATACTTTCAAGCTCTGCCTCAGAAATTTGATAGTGTAATCATTTGGTTCCTTTTTTATTCATAGCCCAAGAAAAAAAGGTATTAACTAGTAGTCTTAAAACGTGAAAGCTTTCCAGTGGAACACATTTTAGTGGATTCACTTACAAGAATCCTAAACCAAAACAGGAAAGCAGGATTGAGCTTTAAGGAAAAGCAGAGTATTTCATTTTGGTTCACACCACTATCTGGAAACAAAGTGAGTTTCTAGGAGAAAAGATAATCTTTCTCTGAGCACGTGTTCCACTTACCTTCATCAAAGGACCAACTGCACAAATATTAATGATCATAATTCTGAAGGTTGCTCTTTGATATCAGTATATCCTGTGATGCAGTATTGGCTTTTTAACACCACACGCTTCTTGCAGTCTGTAGGAAATTTTCACTTAACTTCTTAATTTGAATCAAAGCAACTGTCACTTGATTAGTTCTTTGAAGCTGCTCTTGCTTGAAAGGAACAGCAAGGCTTGTAAAAGAAAGCAGACTTTCCAACCGGTGGATTTTTTGATCAGCAGTGAAATTCGAATGGTATGACACTATTCTGGAGAGAAACAATGTGAGAAACATTGCGAAGGTGTAGATTGTTTTTGTTTTTGTTTTTTTAAACTATGGTAGAAAGGATAAAAGGTGCACATCTCACAGTTGCCTAATTGCAATAAAACATTCTGGGCCCTGGAGTCTGCTGTATGGGAAATCTGAAACCTTTATCAGCTTTCTGATTCATTGAGTGAAAATGGTTTCACATTGTTGATTCTAACATTTCTAACTCTAAAAAGTTTTATCTTAACGCCATTTGTTTTTGGTTTGTGTAAAACCGATCAACAAATGTGACTCTAAAGAACTTGGGATTGAATTTTTTTTTTATTTACACCGTGGAACCCACATGAAAAGTATTTAATGTAAAACAACTTTTTTAGTTTCAATTTCATAAATTAACGCTACTGCAAAAGGGAAAAAAACATTATGCTGAAATCAATGCATTGCAGAGTTTAATTCTAAAAATAGCATCCTAGGACTATCTGGGGGAAAATCTAGAACCTGTAATTGCCTATGTAAAGTGGCATTCTGATAGCAGTTTCTGTGTTTTCTTTAGGACTATCGGACAAAACCTTTTTGCTGCAGCGCTTGTCCATTTTCCTCAAAATTCTTCTCCGCCTACAAAAGTCATTTCCGGAACGTCCATAGTGAAGACTTTGAAAATAGGATTCTTCTTAATTGCCCCTACTGTACCTTCAATGCAGATAAAAAGACTTTGGAAACACACATTAAAATATTTCATGCTCCAAATGCCAGCGCACCAAGTAGCAGCCTCAGCACTTTCAAAGAGAAAAACAAAAATGATGGCCTTAAACCTAAGCAGGCTGACAGTATAGAGCAAGCTGTTTATTACTGTAAGAAGTGCACTTACCGAGATCCTCTTTATGAAATAGTTAGGAAGCACATATACAGGGAACATTTTCAACACGTGGCAGCACCTTACATAGCAAAGGCAGGTGAAAAATCACTCAACGGTGCAGTCCCCTTAGGCTCAAATGCCCGGGAAGAGGGCAGTATTCACTGCAAGCGATGCCTTTTCATGCCGAAGTCCTATGAAGCTCTGGTACAACACGTTATCGAAGACCACGAACGCATAGGCTATCAGGTCACTGCCATGATTGGGCACACAAATGTGGTGGTTCCCCGATCCAAACCCTTGATGCTCATTGCTCCCAAACCTCAAGAGAAGAAGGGCCTGGGGCTTCCACCTAGAATTGGTTCCCTCACTTCCGGAAGTGTCCGGTCTTCACCATCACAGCAGATGATGAATCGACTCTCAATACCAAAGCCTACCTTAAATTCTGCAGGAGTCAACATGATGTCCAGTGTTCACCTACAGCAGAATAACTATGGTGTTAAGTCTGTAGGCCAGGGCTATGGCGTTGGTCAGTCAATGAGACTAGGTCTAGGTGGCAATGCCCCAGTTTCCATCCCTCAGCAGTCTCAGTCTGTAAAGCAGTTACTTCCCAGTGGAAATGGAAGATCTTATGGGCTTGGGTCAGAGCAGAGGTCCCAGGCACCAGCACGATACTCCCTTCAGTCTCCTAATGCCTCTTCTCTCTCATCAGGCCAGTTAAAGTCTCCTCCTCTCGCCCAGTCGCAGGCACCCAGAGTGGTAGGTCAGTGCAGTTCCAAGCCTCCTGCAGCTGCCACAGGCCCTCCCCCAGCCAATACTTCCTCAACCCAAAAATGGAAAATATGTACAATCTGCAATGAGCTATTTCCTGAAAATGTCTATAGTGTACACTTTGAAAAAGAACACAAAGCTGAGAAGGTCCCTGCGGTAGCCAACTACATTATGAAAATACACAATTTCACTAGCAAATGCCTCTACTGCAATCGCTATTTGCCCACAGATACCCTGCTCAACCATATGTTAATACACGGTCTGTCTTGTCCATACTGTCGTTCAACTTTCAATGATGTAGAAAAGATGGCAGCACACATGCGAATGGTTCACATTGATGAAGAGATGGGACCTAAAACAGATTCTACTTTGAGCTTTGATTTGACATTGCAGCAGGGTAGTCACACTAACATCCATCTCCTTGTAACTACATACAACCTGAGAGATGCCCCAGCTGAATCTGTTGCTTACCATGCCCAGAATAATCCTCCAGTCCCGCCAAAGCCACAGCCAAAAGTCCAGGAAAAGGCAGATGTTCCTGTCAAAAGTTCACCTCAAGCTGCAGTGCCCTATAAAAAAGATGTTGGGAAGACCCTTTGCCCTCTTTGCTTTTCAATCCTGAAAGGACCCATATCTGATGCACTTGCACATCATTTACGAGAGAGACACCAAGTCATTCAGACGGTTCATCCGGTTGAGAAAAAGCTCACCTACAAATGCATCCATTGCCTTGGTGTGTACACTAGCAACATGACCGCCTCAACTATCACACTGCATCTAGTTCACTGCAGGGGTGTTGGAAAGACCCAAAATGGCCAGGATAAGACCAATGCACCCTCTCGACTGAATCAGTCTCCAGGCGTGGCACCCGTGAAGCGCACTTATGAGCAAATGGAGTTTCCCCTCCTGAAAAAGCGAAAGCTGGATGAAGATGTTGATTCACCCGCTTTTTTCGAAGAGAAGCCTGAGGAGCCTGTTGTGTTAGCGTTAGACCCGAAGGGTCATGAAGATGATTCCTATGAAGCCAGGAAAAGCTTTCTAACAAAGTATTTCAACAAACAGCCCTATCCCACCAGGAGAGAGATTGAGAAGCTGGCGGCCAGCTTATGGTTGTGGAAGAGTGACATTGCTTCCCATTTTAGCAATAAAAGGAAGAAGTGTGTCCGAGATTGTGAAAAGTACAAGCCTGGTGTGTTACTGGGCTTTAATATGAAAGAATTAAATAAAGTCAAGCATGAGATGGATTTTGATGCTGAGTGGCTATTTGAAAATCATGATGAGAAAGATTCCAGAGTCAATGCTAGTAAAACTGCTGACAAAAAGCTCAGCCTTGGAAAGGAAGACGACAGTTCTTCAGACAGTTTTGAAAATATAGAAGAAGAGTCCAATGGAAGTGGGAGCCCCTTTGACCCTGTTTTTGAAGTTGAACCTAAACTCCCTAATGAAAACCCAGAGGAACACATACCGAAGGTCATTCCTGAGGATGCTTTAGAAGCTGAGGAGAAGCTAGACCAAAAAGAGGAGAATAGCTCAAAATATGAAACTCTTCATTTGACTGAGGAACCAACCAAACTCACACGTGATTCTTCCGACAGTGAAGTTGAGCAAGATGATGGTGTTGAGTGGAAGGACGGGCCCTCTCCATCCGAGAGCGGGCCTGGTTCCCAACAAGTGTCAGACTTTGAGGACAACGCATGCGAAATGAAACCAGGCACCTGGTCCGACGAGTCTTCCCAGAGTGAAGACGCAAGGAGCAGTAAGCCAGCTGCCAAAAAAAAGGCTACCATGCAAGGTGACAGAGAGCAGTTGAAGTGGAAGAATAGTTCCTATGGAAAAGTTGAAGGGTTTTGGTCCAAGGACCAGTCACAGTGGAAAAATGCATCCGAGAATGATGAGCGCTTGTCCACCCCACAGATCGAGTGGCAGAATAGCACAATTGACAGTGAGGATGGAGAGCAGTTTGACAACATGACGGATGGGGTAGCCGAGCCGATGCATGGCAGCTTAACCGGCGTCAAACTGAGCAGCCAGCAGGCCTAGGTGCCAAGGTGCCCTGCGTCAGTAACATGCTGCTGCCTGGAACTCTGTCCTCCCTTCATCTGACTGCAACGCCGTATTCTAACTGGTACTGCCTTTTGAGTGCTGGGTCATAAGGCTTGTGTGGACCTGTGGCCACTGCAATCCCAGTGGGTATTCTGAGTATATGACTCATTGTTGGCTGATACTGCTTCAGATCCTGACAAGCACGGTGACTAAATGTGAAAAACCAGTAAGCTGGTGGCTCACGAACGCACACGAGGAAAAGCAGAGGTTTATTCTGTCTGCCTTTTCAACATTTCTTTCCCTCTGTAAATGTTTGGTTGGATGTCTTTGAGAAGCGTGACCCTGATTGACATGGTAGGGTAGGGCCAGCGTACAAGCTACCAGTTCAAGATGTATAGTAGACTTGGGGGGAAAACCAATTTTTTTTTTTTTTCATTTATTCATTCTGAATAGTTGAAATGTATATTTGTACAGTCTTTTAGACCTATTCAAGTGATGCTTATGATACTGTTACTGTGTACCCTCCCATAGGTTGGTTTCTTTTTTTAGTGTTGCCCTTGCTGTGTAATAAACGCTGTATCTAGTTTACCTAGCAGAAGCTTGCAACTACGCTAGTATGGACTTTTGGACAGACTTAGTTTTTGCACATAACCTTGTACAATCTTGCAACAGAGGCCAGCCACATAAAGTATATATCTGGACTCTCTTGTATTATAGAATTTTTCTTGTTCTGAATATCCTTGACATTACAGCTGACAAAAAAACAAAACACACAAAAACTGGTATTTCAGATCTGTTTTCTGAAATCTTTTAAGCTAAAGTCACATGTGAGGATTGACTTTGCAGCTACTAATTTTGACACCTTTTCAATCTGTATAGAAGTGTGTTGTGTTAAAGCAGCAAACCAATGAGTGCTGCATTTTGGATATTTAGTTTTATCTTTAGTTAAACACCACCTTGGTGGATTCATTTATACCATCTAATATATGACACACTGTTGTAGTATGTATAATTTTGTGATCTTTATTTCCCTTTGTATTCATTTTAAGCATCTAAATAAATTGCTGTATTGTGCTTAATGTAAATACTTGCTTTATTACACATGACAGTCCTGTGTCCATTGCATTTTGTGCCATTTGATGCCCTGGCTTCTCTCATCAGAGATGGATGAAGCCATAGTCACCAAGCAAATTTGTGGAAAACCAAATTCTGCTATTTGCAGAAAGAATGCTTTCTCTCAAGGCACCTGTTTGAAATTCTTTTAGTCTCCCCTTTTTAACTGCTAAAATAAACATCCTTGAATTTTTCAGTTCCCTTTTGTTAAGGAGAAGAGCCTGCTTATATATGTAAATGTCTTAATGATAAAAAGATGTAACGATAAATTGGCATTAATTTGCAAGCAGAAGCTTAAAGCCTGGTGTTCTTCTAAATGAGATAAATGTTAATTTTCACCCTATAACGGGAACAGTTGTACTAAAGAGGCACCCACTTTCTGCCTTTGTTAGGACTCATGACCATCTTGCTATTAGAAAAATAGGCTTTGGAGATGACACGTTTGGAGGGCTGTCGGGATGGAAGGAGGTGGTGTGTGCGTTCTTCTTAGATTCCCATGAGCAGCTTACACTAAAGAGCAGAGCAAGACAAGGAGGCAGGGTTCATTTGGCCCGCGTTTTCTGCAGTTAACAATGATGAGATGCTCCAACCCATGCAGAGACTGACCAGTCACCTCTCAGGGACATCGGCCTAAAAAATTTCACTGATGCTTTTGTTACTGAAAGTAGAGATTTGACCGTCCTCCCCCTGAAATATTGCTAAGTTAATGCTTCTCAAGAACAAGCCGGGAGAAAGTGCTGGAATAGACTAGGGTCCAGTCAGCTGGGGTTGCCGTGGAGCTGTCTATTACACAGGTAGGGTATAAATTTTGTGCAGACCAGTGACTATTTGGGACAGGATGTCCCCAAATTCAGATGCTGCTGGTGACCAGATAAGGAAGATGATGGCTGTGAGCAGTGAGCAGCTCTAGGGAAGGAATACCAGCTGAGTTGAAGCCATCTCCCGTTTGTTTGGAAATGGCTTTTCATTAACAGGTGGGAAGAGCTTTGCCTGGGCTTGGGGGTGGGGGCGCTAACGAGACGTGTGCAAAGTAGCAGGGGTAGATTGCATTCCTGTCTGGACATCTGAGCAGAGAGAGAGCATGCTTCCTCACCGCCGGGTTGCGTGGTGGGTGTATACCTTTTTGGCATTCAGAAAAGGGTTTAGCCACCTAGAGTTGGAAATAACAAAGATTCCCAAGTGGAAATGTTGCAAAAGCTCTAAAAGTGTCTCAATAAAAACCATTTTAAAAGAATGTTTGTTGCTACTCTTTGCTTTGGGGAAAAAAATGTGATTTCACTTAAAAGCCAGGACAGTCTGCCACCTTCTAATTAGAGACTCAGTAACTACGCTGAGCAGTTCTGTAGGTCCCAAGTCCTTATTCCAGAGACCTTGCCCTTCAGTTCTGTAGCAGAGAGCTAGGACTAGGGTTTCGCTCCTTTTCCAGCACAAGAGCATTTGTGTGCCCCATTTTTGATTCTGGTCATTGATGGGTACAGGCAGGAGTCTCTTTCCAATAGCTGTGTTTCCCCTCTTAAAATCCAAGCACAGAGACTTGCCCCTTTTGTTGCCCTGTAGATGTATAACTCTGCCTGCACACTGAAGATGAGCGGTAGATTTGAAATCTAGTAAAGGCTGGAAAACGCCTGTCTGACGCGCTTCAGTAGAAGGGTTTAAAGCCACTTCTCATCAAGCTTGTACTGCTATGTGCAGGTAACGTTGCTCAGCGACCAACATTGACTTGAGATGGGACCCAGGAATCATCTCTGGGTGATTCTGTGCCAGTCAAGTGTGACCACAGCATTGCATGATGGGTCATCTAAATTGATAGTTTTATGAATTATCAGGACAGCCTGTCCATTGCCAGATTGCCCGATAAGCAAGATAAGCATGGACTTAACTTGTGTTTACTTAACCTCTAGTGAACAATTGCACATTATTTCACCTTATCATAGATCTTGCTGCTAAGTATGGCTGGCATCTTGTCTCCCTACCCCACAGCACTTTCCTGTAGATCAAAGTTTTCAAATTTGCAGTCCCTGGTAGGGACAGAGCCCCCAGTAAACACAAGTGCACTTAGGTAACCAGCCCCTGCTTCTGCCCCTCCCTCAGGCAGTGGCTTTTTCTACACATTGTGACCCTTATTTCTAACCTGTGCTGCTGCCGTGTGCTCACCAATTGCAGCCATGTTTCACCAAACTGTCACCTTTGTGCAGGAACATCACAACTGGTAAGCCCCCCAAAGATTGGGAATAAGATGCCACTGCTATCATTCTGAAAATAAGGTGGCAGAGACAGTGAGTCAAGTTTTAAAAATGCATTTCTACCAGCAACTAGTAGAAGGGTGGGCTAGAAATGGAACCAAACTTGTGCCAAAGGAGGGTCTGTTAGGTAATTCTTTGCATCCTGCAGCTGATCCCACTGAATTATAACTAACGTTGACTCTGACGTGAATATGGTGGAGTCGCAACTTAGATGGTGGTGAGGTTCAAAAGTCAGCATGTGAGATAGAAGTTGCATAAAATCAAAGGGAATCCTTGGCTCGATTTCACAGTGCTCTAACGAATGACGTGGGAAAGATGGCCCACGGTCTTCTCCAGGACTGACCTGGACTGAAGGGCCGTGTTGTGCACCATTGTGTTTTGTTGCCTCTGTGTGTTTTTCTGAGTTCAGCATTCATGCATCTGTGGTGCCAGTTCCTCCCCCACCACAGGACATCATCTGCCCTGATAGGAAAGTATAAGGCCATTTAAACCTAAAAAAAAATCATTTTTGTATTAAAAATCTTGCTGACCTTTATTAATGTCTTACACTGAACGACACAAAATGGATGTCCTAATAAGCAAATTGGACACTTTGAAAATCGACAAGCCAAGCAGCGAGCTTCCTGCTAGAAATGAAAGGGCTTTTCCAGTGTTCTTGATGTAAGCATTGCACTGGCTGCCATCTAGACGGGCAGAATGTGACAGCTGTGTTCGGGAAGCAGCCATCTGGGAGTCTAGGAATTAAAAGTACAACCCTGCCTTGGAGAGCGCTAAGGAAGAAAAGCGGGGAAGGTGACTACACATGACTTGCGTGTTGCCTCTCAGCCTGCCAGCCAGGCTGCACCAGGGTCCCTGGGAAGAGGAGCAGCATGGGTCACACACTGTTGATGGAGAACTCGAGGCAAGGGTTTGCCCACCCTCCCTATGAGTGCAGTTACGTTTCCTAAAAACACCCCAAGGCACACCCTGAACACATAACCTACCTGCTCAACAGGTATTTTCAAAACACTGAAATGTTCCTAGAACTCATCGGATTCTAGATGCCAGGGTATTTGAGTCTTCGGACCAACTTTGCTCCACCCCACCTGCCAGAGGAGGATTGCTCTTTTGAGCAAGACAGTATTAGCTCTGGGTGTCAGGTGTGGACATGAAGGCTCCAAGAAGCCAAGGAACTTGTCCAAGATCCCAGCAAGCAAAGGAAAGATGCCACTTTCCCTGCTTTGCATGCTAATAGCCCTACAACACTTCCACTAGGGCACACTCATTCACATCGTCATGACTTTTGCCACATCTGCCTAACAACTGCATGATTAGCATGTTTCCCCTCCCCTTTTAATAAAAGGAAAACTCACTAAAAGAGGAAAACCAGCATAATTGGCCATTAGTGGAAGGTAACCATAAAAATCAGTACAAGAAAAATATTACTACTAAATTGTCGCTGTCTGTGCGCCTGCTCAGGGCTGTGAGCCTGACACTTGCTCTGCTTATTAAAAAAGGACAATTAGAGTGATGTCCAGGCACGTTTGTTACTAGGTGCCGTCAACTTGGTTTTCAACTCAGAAAAAGAGTAGAACTCGTGAGAAAGAGTAGAACCAGCCCATAGGGTTTTCTGGGCTGTAATCTTCACGGGAGCTGCTCGTGAGGTCTGTGATTCCGTGGAGCTGCTGGGAACCTTTCAACCTTTCAGTTAGCAGCAGGGTGCTGGACCATTGCATGACCAGGGCATACTGGCATCAACACTGGAAGGGCTGGATGAGTCTCCTCTCAGTGCATGGTAGTGGCCCTCAGCCAGGAGTCCAGAGATGGGGCCCTGACCCCCAGCTCGGATTGGGCTCAGAGTGGTTCTCAGGGAAGTCTTTGCTTAACACTTGTCAGCCACCTTTCCTTACCAGGCATTAGGCCCATTTATGTCAATTAGGCTCTTTTCACTTGCAAGTTAACAGGAAACGCAATTCAGAGGACTTAATAAAGGGACACAGGGTGACTGCCTGATAGAGCAAGCTGCTGAACACCATCACAAGGGCTCAAGTTCTCTGCCACTTCCCACTGCCGTGCACACGGTCACCTTCATTCTACGCAGGCACCCAGATGTTTGTAGGATTCTTGTAGTTCACAACCTCAGAGCCACCCTCCCACCCCTTGGAGCAAGAGACCTGAGCTCTGAGCCACCCGGACCATTCCTGAACCAGTCCCTGGGGTTGAAAAAGCCAGAGGTACTGAGTTACGAAACCTCTGATTGGCATAGGTCAGGGCCCATCTCCAGAGCGGCGTGGAATCAATTCACCCTGAACCATAAAAGGGTTACTTGTATCCAGAGAGACATGGAATGGAGACATGGGGAGAACACTACATTCTTCAGAAGAAACCTTGTGGAGTAAGTGACACAGGCAAGAAGCAGAGTTGCTCCAGCTGAGGCGAGGTTCCTCCTTGAAAACGTCTTGACTGGTGGCCTCTGAGAGCTGTAAAAGGCAGTGACGCCAGGTCTCTCCCCCAGAGGTTCTGATGTAATTGGTCTGGGGTGTGGTCCAAATGTTACCCACTGGCAGCCAGCGTTGAGAATCGCTGTTTTAAAGAGACTCCTAAGTGAACACAGCTGCAGGAGCGTGGCCCTTCCTCTGATCAGCACATTTGCCAGTGGGGTTTCCTGTGTGAGGTCATTACTTCGATTTCCCAAACACCTGCCTGCCAGCCTATGCAGAACGCCTGTCTCCACACTCCGAACGCAGCCT